AAGTTTTCCTATTTTGCCAACTAATTTTTACTGTGCAGGCCACAAATTCTGCTCTTACAATTCTCACTTCTCTTTTAAAATACTCAGGAAAAGTGTATTGAGGTTCCAATTTCTCAAATTCCACTGTGTGTGTCTCATCAAATGTTGGCTGATTTTCCTTTGTTTTGCAATATTTATTCACAGATGCTGGAACTCTTTTAGTAGACCTGCAAGCCTTATTTTCTTCTGCTGTTAATCTTTTTTCTTTTGATTTCTCTGCTTATGGTTAAGGACTTTGGGCTTTCTTTCCTCTGAGATCTTTGGTAATTTGTTTTTCTTCCCTTTATTTTCCCCTTTTGCTGAACCTGATTCCCCTCTGCTGGGGGGGGGGGCGGAACCAAACCCAGTTGAGCAGATAGAAGCTGATTGTAGCAGACATTGTCCCCTTTCCCAGACCCATGAATTACCTGAGGCTGACCAGCTCCAGCCTGATTATTTTGTAAATACTTAACTCTTCCCTCCTGAGATTCCCAGGCTTTCTTTATGGACTTTGGGTTGTTATGCGAAAGAATCTATGTGGTCAAACCACAGGATGTTCCAATCCCCTCTACTTTCAGCCTGGCCTTTGGAGAATTGTACTCCTGTCCTCTGCCCCCCCCTCCTCTATAATAACCCCTTGCCATGCCCGGACCCCTCCTTGGGCTCCCCAGCACTTGGTTGGTTGTTGTCCTTCATGCTTGAAGAGGATCAAAATGATTTAATTATGTTGGGGTCAAGGTACAGTGTGTCTGAACTATGACTTATCAGACCAATATAAGCTTGGAAGGCTCTACCACAGGTCAGGCACAAATAAGTCTACATGAACATTTGGAGTGGAGATGTCTCTAAGTTTGGACATCTCACATTTCTTTTGAGCTACTGCAATTCTGCTTCACTCATAGAGCACAGTCCCTTCTTTGATGCTGGCATGCAATGCTGGGCCGCCCTGTGCCAGTGACTCCCATGTCTCACAATTGATTCCAAAATTCTTCAGAAAGACCTTGAGAGTGTCCTTATATTGCTTCTCTTTCCCCCCCCTTTTTTTTAGCCAAAGACAAGGTTTATTAGAACATCCATCATATTGGGTAGACTCTTAAGGAATCTAAGCAGTTGTATTGCTAATGTAAGCAGGCCAGATCTTAAGAATCTGAGCAGTGACTGGATTTTAAGAATCTCAGCATTTGGCTAGATTTTAAGAATCTGAACACCTTAATGGAGACAAGATGGACCTTATATATAGAAAGACTGGGAGGAATCTAGGAATGGCCAAGTAGTTTGGAGTGACTGGAGGAGGAGTCTAAGGAAGATCTGGATGGGAGTGGCCAGTAAGGGGGGGTGTGAACAGAATGCCTGGGACCTGGACTACTTGGCAAAGGGAGAATAGAGTCAAGATAGGATTAAGGGTGGGAAGTGGCCAGGGGCAATCAGAAGGTAACAGAATAGAATTGGGAGATTGGGTATAGCCACAAGGAAAGGCTAGTTGATAGGGTTATAGCCTCAGGTGAATGCCACAGATTTGACCATGTGGAAAAGTCCAGGGTTTTTAAACCTTTTTGAGGTCCAGACCCCATCCTCATGATTCCCCTCTCAAATAAATGGGGCACAAATTCTTTTGGGGTAAGGGGCGAAGGTCTTGGCTTCTGAAATTTCTTCCTGCTGGCAAGGGACATAGCTGTCCCTACCTTGAGGGGGTCCCAAAGAGGAGGTTGACTGGAACCGAGCACAGGATGCATCCAGGGAATGATGGGAGGACACTGGCTGGTACCCACTGTTTGCTACTGACTGTAGGTGAATGGCCTGTAGTCTGGAAGACACAAATCTGACAGAAAAGACTGCAGGGCCCAAATGACAGGATAAAACATCCTTAGCTCTGTTTGGATTCAGAAAATTCAGTTTTCCAACCATGCAGCATCAAATCCACCTCATAGCCAGACTCAAGAATAACCAGGTGGGTAACATTTCTTTTCAAAGGAACATAATAGGGAAACTGAGCCAGGAGGATCCCATCTTAGACTGAGGTTAAAATTGTCCTCTCAGTTTTTCCCAATGCTGACTTCCCACCAGTATCACATTCTCTCTGAGTAGTTTGTGGCATTTTTCTCAGATAGTAGATTATTGATCATGAATGGATTGTGATCCATCAAACAACTCAAAATAAAATCCTATGAGCTTTTACCTCAAACAACAAGTTTCACTAATCACAGTTTAGGAAAAACCTTTCCAGGATCTACATCTCAAACTTAAATTTGTCCTGGTGTAAAAAGTCAATCATTAGAGATTTCTGTACACATGCAAATTCTCAGCAAGCCATACATAACCCAAATAAGCCTTTTTGGCTGGTTTACACATTAAAACAATAACCAACAATAGCCAACTTATTTTAGCAGTAACCAAATTATGAAAAGTTGCTTCAGAATTTCAAACTTGAAATAAACCCATTACCAATCAGGTGACTTTGGTTTTGTTAAATGTGTTTCCAAATTACTTTACACAGAGAATCAGCATCTCATCATTAACAGTTAAAACTACAAGTTTAAAAGGCATGCTTACCCAAGTTCAGAGGCTAGCTTCATTACCACGAGCAGGACGTGCTGAACCTGGGTGATGCTTCCAGGCAAAGGTTGCCCTAGGGCCGGAGGCCGTTGCCAGGGGGTCCTATGCTGTATCTGCTGCCCCTCCCTCCTCCTTCCTTTCCCAGGTTGGGGAGGGTAAAATCAAAGGCAAAGGGTAAAGGGTGAAACTCTTCTATGAGAGGGGTTAATAGATACCCTCTTGACTCGAGGGCAGGGAGTGGGAGAAAGGAGTGACCAGGGTTGTAAGGAGGAGTTTCAAAACTCCTTAATGATCAATCATAAAGGCTCCAGAATGTGCCAAGATATTTTTAGCTGTTCTAACTTTTCCCTGTAACCTCCATGAAGGAGGATTCAGGAGTGTAGAAGGGAGTAAGTAAGCCTCAGGGAACCAAAAAGCAACTGCAATTTTCCCCAACTCACTAGCACAGAGAGAATTGACAGAATTGGGCATACACTTCTGGATACGGCATTGGTCCTTGTCCTCTGTGCTGCTGAAGGTCTACCCAGGTTCATGGCCTCGAACCAGCCCAGTGGACCGAAAGTCTGGGAGCATCAGGCTGAGTTCGAGACAGCCTCGAACTGTCTGCCTGAAAAGCACCTCTGAGCCTTGGTGCTTGGAGAGCAACCTCAATTGTACAGCAAGTAAAAGGGGAAGCTGGGGCTTACATACCTTCCAGTCTTGGCTGAAGAAGAACTGGGGGTTAGGCAGTTTCCCCATATGGGCTACCAAAATGTTGAGGTTTAGGAGTTCAGGGGTGCTAGAACCCCAAAATCACAATACGCAGGTCCTGTCCAAAAGAATTTGACCCAAGCCTTCTTTCAACCAAAGGCAAGGTTTATTAGAACATCCGCCATATTAGGCAGACTCTTAAGGAGTCTGAACATTAATAAACTATTGGCTGGATTATAAGAATCTGACCAGTGGGTAGATTTTTAAGAATTTAAGCCTTTGGCTAGATTAGAACAATCTGAGCACCTTAATGGAGACAAGCCGGACTTTATATACAGAAAGACTATGGGAGGGATCTAGGAGTGGCCAGGTAGTCTATGAGGTAATAGAATTCCAGGGACCTGGACCAGGTGGCCAAGGAGGAAGGGAGCCTAGATAGGATTAAGGGTGGGAAGTGGCCTGGGGCCAGAGGGAGGTAAGACAAACTCTAGAGAGTTGGCCATGTGGGAAAGTCCAGAGTTTTTCCTTTCTGGGGTCCAGATCCCAACCTCATCATTGGGAACCCTGAAATTCAAGGGCAGAAGTGGGTCTTGCCTCAAATGAATTCGACTCAAGCCTTCTTTCAGTCAGAAACAGGGTTTATTAAAACACCGATTGAAGTGGGCAAGGTTTTAAGAATCTGTGCTATTTGGTGACACTTGTATTGATAAGCAGGCCAGACTCTTAAGGAATCTGAGCCCTTTAACGGAGGCAAGATGGACCTTTTATATAGAAGACTGTGGGAAGATCTGGATGTGATGTAGGAGTGGCCAAATAGTCTTGGGGTGACAGGGAAGTAACAGGAGTCTAGGTGGAATTAAGGGGGGGAAGTGGCCAGGGGCAATCCAGAGGTAACAGACAATGAAGGGCTAGTTAGAGGTAACAGAGAACTGGAGTTTGGGGCAGGGTCAAAGCCATAATGCAAGGAACTGGGAAGGGCCGGGTGCCCCAGGGAAGGCATGGGAAAGCCCAGGGCCTTTTAGTGCCCCATAGGGTACTATTAGTACTATAGTTGTAAATACTCTAAAGGCAGAATACACACACACATAATCATATACACACTGATATTTACAGATGCAAAATTTAAAAATATTTGACAATGATATCTTAAGATTATTGTTCTCCTTTTTATATTATTTTTCATCACGGAATCCCCCCCCCACACACACACTTTTTGCTTATCCAATACCAGAAGTGGTTGTGTAGTATGGTCAGAGGAATCTCCTAACCCTCTGCTCCCATACAAGGTAAGCAGGTTTTTCCTTAATAGGCATTAAAACAGTTCTTGACAATTATCTGTCTTTGGAGGCTAAAGGTAAAAAAAATAGCCAGGAGTAGCTTATACTTGGCTAATTGACCACTCAGCTTTGCTCAGCCAAATCATCTCCAGTTGTCTTTAATGCATATACTTGTTGAATATCCTTCCTTGGCTATGGCTAATTAAATTTCCCTTTGTTAATTGTTAAATGAGTTACAAGTATCTCATTTGTTCCAATGTTGGACTCAAGCTAAAGGAAGACTGGCCTAAGTTAAACCTATACCAGAACATATGCATATAGGTAAGTAGTAAATTCAGTAGACATGCTAATCTTTTCTTTAAAGCTATTTTATTCCTATTTCAGCTTCCATTGAAAAAGAGATTCATATTTTAGGTCTGTCTCAATGGCCACATAAATAAAAACACTTTTTGCTGTTTCTAGGTGGAAATTTAAGAAAGGGAGCAAAAGTTTTCCATCCATGGCATCATCGGAAAGATCTTGGAATCAGCCAGTCATATAATGACCTTATATTCCTGCAGCACCCTGATGAGATTCACAGAAAATCAACAAAGATAACAAGAACTTTTAAGAAGAATCTGCTTTCCATGCACAGGAACAAGAGTGAATTGAATGTCTTCTCAGTGGATCTCTCTTTATAAAGCTCTGTTAACTTCTTATGTGACATGCATATCAACTGATCAGTTATTTATGAAGCAACATTAAAAGATATGAACACAGACATACAACTGTGTACTTTTTGCTAGATCTTTGAACTTCATTATAAAGGGAAAGCTCTAGTTGACATGTGACGTTTTGTTTAGAAGGCTTAATATTTGTTTTTTCAGACTGATATGTATTAAAAGAGGCCCTGAGGGTAGATAGGAAAAAAAAAAGATTGATATATATATATTTTGGAAATAAAAATAGAATTACGAGAATATAAAATGAAACTCGAAAATGTACAAGAATATTTTCCTTTGATATTATCCATATTACTTGATTAGTTTTACAGTTACTTAACATAGGTATATATCATGCTAAACATTTTCTAAGTTTATTTTGAGCATATTTGCAAATGTTATTTTTAAAAATTAGTGTTTACATTTTTCTCAACTATACAAAAAGCTACTATTGCCATTGTAACATTTAATTAATAATTTCCTAATGTAGAATACTGGTTAAGAAAACTTGAAAAGAGAGAATAGGAGCCATAAATAATACTGTTTTGGTCATGTCTATTATGAAGAAGGGGAGAAATGCAAACAGGCTGCAAACAGGAGTGAACCAGCCCATGTCAGAAACATAGGCCAAAATTTTCGTGTTCATTAGTAGTGCCATCAAGTCAGTGAATAGCATCTGCATTTCCAGCCTAGAAAACATAGAGGGATGTTGCTGCACAGAGGGCTTTTTGCTATAGTGATAACTTTGCTTTATTGTCTGGGATGTTTGAGACACTAACAAGTTATTTAGGTCTGGTTTTCTTTCTAAGAATGTTTTGAGGGGACAGCTAGGTGGCACAGTGGACAGAGCTCCAGCCTTGGAGTCAGGCAGGAGGATCTGAGTTCAAATCTGGCCTCAGACACTTGACATCTACTAGCCCTGTGACCCTGGGCAAGTCACTTAACCCAGACTGCCTCACCAAAAAGCAAAAAAAAAAAAAGGAATGTAAGAATGTTTTGAATACCTCTTTTATTGATTAATGATTAGGCTCAGATTTGCAAGGGAAGTCACTATGGATTGCATTTTGAGCTCCTCTGCACACATTATTATTCCATTCCCTTCTGGGGTTTTTAGTGGGTTCAGAATAATCTCATGTTGTTTGAATGTCCTTTTCTTTTTACTTGAAGGTCTTCTTCCTGTTCAATTACAGAATTTGTCAGTGAAACTGTCCATTAAATTACATTTAACCACTCCACTGTCTTGGAATTGGCAGCATAGACTGTTTGTTTTGGGGTTGTCTGTTTTTCTGGAGACAATCTATTGATTCTTTCAATTGGTGCTTTGTTTTCTGTGCTCAGAAGTTCCAGGCAATTTTCTTGCATTGTGTGTTCAGGTTTTTTTGACTTGTCATATTCTTCTAGCAGTCCTTAACTTGTCTCTACACATCCTGTCTTCGAGATCAATGTTTTACTTGTATAGATATCATGCTTTCTTCTAATGTTATTGCCTTATGCTTCTCTTCCTCCAGATTGTCCATTTCTTCTATGTATTTGTATTCCCATTCAGTTATTTTCTTTTGTTTCTTTGGTGAAACTTGCTACCATGGATTCAATTTTTTCTATTCCACCAGTTATTTTTACTATTCAGCCATAAATTCTGCTACTCTTTGAGGTTTAATTCTCTTGAGATCCTTGATAATTTAACCTTTTCCCCTTATTTTCCCCTATTACTTTCTGATTCCCTCCCTTTGGATGGCTGTTTCCTTGGGGGCAAGATTTCAAAACCGTCTCAGTCTCCTCCCATGCTAGGCAATTGCTGGTTCACCAGCTTTGCTCTCTGCCCCAAGTAACATCTGGGGGAAAAATTGGACCCAGCTGGATGATGGGCTCTTTCCTTCTGGTTTAATAGAGTGCCACGCAGCCACACATACCTGTCCTGCCCCATTTCCCTCTACTCCTCAATTCTCTGGCTGAGTGCTGTTGCAGCACCAAGCACTGTTGTGACACAGAGGGCTATTGCTGCACAGTGATACCATGCTTCTTACTGCTGTCTCAGCCTAAGGAGATTTCTCCCTTAGATCTCTGAAGCACTGGGTGGCTGGATGGATTCCTGAAACCGTATCATTGTGGCAGTGGGGAAAGTGGTGCTGAGTGATCATGTTAAAAGTTGGGTATTATTAGGCTAGTTCACTGGATTTTTAATTTCTTCAGGGGTTTTGAAGTCTGAGACAGTGGAGAAAACTGAATTGCCTTAGTTCTTGCATATAATACCTATTTTGGAGAAGTTTGGGAGGTTGTGAGGATCAGAAAAAATGGTTAGTCCTTGGTCAAGTGACCTTAGTCTCAAAAACAAAACAAACCAAATCATGGCTCCAAAGAAGAGACATGAAAAGATACTTGCATCACTCCTTTGAAGAGGTGGGAAATCATGGGTGAGGTACAATGCACATATTTTTCAGACTTTTGCTGATTTTTCTTTTCCCTTTCTTTAAACATATTATTTGTTATATGGCATTACTCTTAGAGAGGGAGGGGGAAGGGATATGGGAGAAAATCTGATGTTAAAAAAGCTATCAATAAAATTTTTTTTAAAGTATATAATGGGGGGAAGCTAGGTGGCACAGTGGATAGAGCACTGGCTCTGGAGTCAGGAGGATCTGAGTTCAAATGTGACCTCAGACACATATCACTAGCTGTGTGACTCTGGGCAAGTCACTTAACCCCAATTGCCTCACACACAAAAAAAGTATGTAATAGGATAAAATATCTAGCTGCCCCCCCCATGTTCTCTTAACTAAATCTTCTTATATATTCTACATATTTTCATAATGTATTTAATAATATTGATAAAATTTATCAACATAAAAATTATGGCTTAAGAGGCCACTCTCTAATCTTCAGTCTCTAGTCACTTCCTTAGTACCTACAAAAAATGCCCTTATCTGCCTGATCCCCCCAAAACTCACTTGATCCTGCTATTATCCTGTATTTCTCCTCTTTTTTGTGGCTAAACTCGTTGAGAAGGCTGTCTATAATCAATGGCTTCCACACTTATCATTCAACCAAAACCGCTGTCTCCAAAATTCTCAGTGATTGCTAAATCGAATAGCCTTTTCTCCAGTCATCCTTCTTAACCTTTCTGTAGCTTCTTACACTGTTAATCACCATCTTCTCTCTGATAGTCTAGGCTTTTATAACACTGCTCTATTCTGGTTCTCTTCCTGTCTGATCACTCCTCAGTCTCCTTACTTACCTAGCCCAACTCTCTCTCCTGACCTCTAGTCTTGAATCTCTAGCTGCCTACTGGACAGCTGAATATCCTGTGGACATCTTAAAACTCAACACGTCCAAAAATGAATTATCTCTTCCTAACTTCCCTATAACTGTCCTTGGTACTACCATCTTCCCAGAAAACAAAGTTCCCAACCTAGGTGTCATCCACAACTCCTTGGTCTTTCTCATCATCCATATCCAATTTGTGGCCCAGGCCTATTGACTACCTTTTGTAACATCTCTCCTAGCTCCCCCTTATCTCATTTGACACTGCTTCTAGTCTCCTGCAGGCCCTTATCACCCAAACCTAGGCTGCAGCAGCCTTTTGATTGACCTCCTAGCCTCAAATCTCTCTTAGTTTCAAAGCAATCTTCCTAAAGCACATGTCTGACCATGTTATCTGCTTATTCAATAAACTCCTTTGGCTCTCTATTACCTCCAAGATTGAATACAAACTCCTCTGGCTTTTAAAGCCCTTTAGAAACTGATCCCTTTCTCCTTTTCCAGAATTCTTACATCTTACTCCCCTTCATGTGCTCTGCCATCCAGTGTTTAGTAGTGGGCCTGGCACATAATAGGCACTTAAAAAATGCCTGTTGACTTGACTTGCCACTTAGCCTCCTTGCTATTTTTCATGGAAGACACTCCCATCTCCAACTCCTTGCATTTTCACTGGCTGTCCCCTATGCCTGGAATATTCTTCCTCCTTGCTTCCTTCAAGTAGCAACTAAAACCAGCATTCTAGAAAAAGCCTTTCCTGATTCTTTCTGATAGGGCCTTATCTCTGTGATTATCTCCCATTTATTTATTTATTGTTGGTATATAGATGTTTTCTTGTTATCTCTGCTCATTAGACTGTGAACTCCAGGAAGGGAAGAATTGTTTTTTCTCCCTTATCTTTGTATCTCCAGGGATTAGCAAAGTGACTGGCACATAGTGGGCATTTAATAAATTTTTTTGACTAAAGATGTCAAAATTATTTTTAAAAATATATATCCGTGAGAATGTCTTTAGTTCCCTGGAATTCATTATCTTGTCACTTTAAAGCATTTTTCAGTTATACCTTCACTTACAAAGAAGATGTTTTAGTCTAAAATACTCTAATGTATAAGATCTTAAAGAATAGTTTTTAAACATTCTTTGTGGGAGTTCATGATTTGGTACTTTATTTTATAGAACAATGTTTCACTTCCTATTTATACTTTGTTCTGCTTTGTCTTTTTCCCCTGCCATTCAAAATTTGAGAAAACTTATTTAGTAAGATGACTTTTAAGACATATTTTGATCAAACAGTTTTACTTACAAAATATTTTCAGTCTGATTTTGAAGTAGTGCACCCAGACTTTTGGGACACCCTGTATTTTGGAAGAATGTAGGCACAACAAATTAGGTTCGTGGCCCGATAGTTACTATTTTTTTAAACAATGAATGTACACCTCTAAGGTTACTGATACTTTCCCCACTAGAGAAATGGTCAAAAGATATGGTCAATTTATGAAACTGTAAATAAAAAAAACTTATTAAGTACATTAAAAGATGACCAAACTCCCTAAATCTGAGAAAGGGAAGTCGTTAACCTTATTGCTACAATCGTGTCGACAATCTTCCCTTTCCTTTCTAACACTACAACCAGAGTACGACATTAATTTAACAGGGAAGGGGAATTTGTCTTATTTTTCTTTGTGGAACCACTGAGAGGCCCAGTGACAGCAGGGCTACCAAGGAACAAAACGTGCATCCGCTTGGGACCCCCGACTCTGACCTGTCTAGACAGGGCGTCATTCGGGGTGCTCCGAGCGACCTTCCAGCCCCAGCTCGCGAAGAGAGAAGGGGGGACCCCTCTGCGTGTCCCCGTCCTGAAAGAAGGAGGAGGGGGAGAGATGGAGGGAGAAAGAAGGAGGGGGGGAAGAGGGGGAGGGGAGAGAGATGGGGGAGAGAGGGAGGGAGAGGGAGAGGGAGAGAGAGACGGAGACAGAGAGAGGGAGGGAGAGAGGGAGAGGAGAGAGGGAGGGAAAGGGAGAGGGAAGGAGGGAGAGGGAAAGGGACAGGGAGAGGGAGAGGGAGAGATAGAGCGAGAGAGAGCGAGAGAGAGAGAGCGAGAGAGAGAGCGAGAGAGACAGCGAGAGAGAGAGAGAGAGAGAGAGAGAGAGAGAGAGAGAGAGAGAGAGAGAGAGAGAGAGAGAGAGAGAGAGAGAGATCGAGCGAGCGCCCATGTGACCTCTGAGACCGAGCAGGTGAATGCACTGCTTTGCAGGATACACCTGCCAGAAAAAAAACCTGAAAAAACCGCTACGGGAACCAGACGCGTGAGCCCTTCTTGGTCCTCTCAGCCCTCTAAAGTTAAGAGTCTAAACCCTCCTCTCCCACCCCAACACATCTAGTGCACTGGCTACCCCAATTCCGGCAACCCCGTTCCGAGAACTCGGGAAGAGACTGGATCCGGGTGTCTGAGAGCAGTGTAACTGATACAGGCGAGCCAATCGTAGCATACTACAACTCCCAAGATGCCTTTTCCGCCCTCTCGGTTTCCGGTGCTGCGTAGTTTCCGGAGCGGATCGCAACCTGGAGTCCGGATCCGATCCCGGTCTGCACATTCCAAAGGCAGGTAACCCCCCCTCCCGCCCCCCGACCACCCCCTGCACGCGCTGCTACCTCCAGCCCCGCGCACCCCTGTCCTTGCCCGGTTCACCGGCACCCCCAGTGAGCACCCGAGTGTCCCCAGGGGCCCACCATTAGAGGGAGGGGAGGGAATCCTCCCTCCCTCCCCTCCTTCTCTCTAGCCCCACGGGGTTGACTTGCACTCAACACACGGTCCCCAGTCCATCCGCCATGCCGACTGTTCTTTGTTACATTCTCTGAGTTGAAGGGGAACAGTTGGAGATCGGAGTCAAAACCCGGCTGGATTTCGGCAGAGTAACTCCTGGATTTCCCTGGTTTGCGCTATGTACACACCAGCGCCGCGTCGCACTGCTTAGGGTTGCAACGGGAAGCAGCTTTAAAAAAAAAAAAAAAAGCTGCCAGGGGCTGGTTTCTTGGCCTGGCTGACGGATCTTGGGTTGGACCAGTATGTGCCTTTGTGCGGCGCCCCTGTGTTCTTATCTTGTCTTCGGGCTTTTCAGAGCCCTAAAAAATCCATACTAATTTGAGAGGTTAGGAGAGAAGAGGGTATCGTGGGGAGGGTGTGGCATTGACATTCTCTTCTAGAGCTCCATCTTCCACAGCTGCTTTCTTTGCAGGAGGAGGGTTAGTTTTGGAGGAGGGACGGAGAAGCCGATTTTGGATAAGAAGGCTATATGTCAATTCGTTGTGCTGGGATCTGGAGGATCGTTTTCCAGCTAATCCAGGCAATATTATTTTCTACCCTCCCCTATGCATTGGTTTAAATGGGCTCTTTTGTAAGGCCCTGGAAGAACTTAATTGGTGGAGAGCTCTGGATTGAAATTTGGAAGGGATTTCTCATTTCTCTCCCCACCCACATTTTAGAGATGCATACCTCGAAGAAGACTAGATGAAGCATTCCCTTCTTCGCCCCTAAAACCCTTTTATATTAAAGCCATTTTTGGTGGGGAGATAAAGAAATGAAATAAAAATTGTTTGTGTATGTATGTGTTGAGCAGCTTCACATATATAAATCCCTTAGATTTCCATTGTAATGCAAATGATGACCCGATGATAGTGATTTAAGGATTGCCTCTCCAAGTCCTTTGCCTCCTGCTGTTTCTTTTTGGAGGCCAAGGTGCTTAAAGGTGCTCATCTTACCTTCCTAGATGGCGCTGGTATCCTCAGTTCCTCGATTTTACACTTTGGGATGAGCTGTTAGATGGAAAGAGTAGGAAAGCAAAATTCCACCCTAATACTCCATGGAATGGTGCATCCAAGGATTGTAGTTAGCAGTTCTTTTCCTTTAATATTGTGGTAATTTGTACATAATTATTATATTATTATACATAATAATATTGTTATATGTAATAATGTTATACACAATAATTATATTGTACATACTAATATTAATATACATAATAATATTTACCAACGTGGATTAGATGACCTCCACTGCCCTTCCAAATTGTCATTTCCTCAAACAAAGGTGATTTCTAAGACATTTCATTCTAAGTATTCAGAATCAAGTAGGAGGAATAGTTGGCATAGTGGGTAGAGCATTGGACTTGGGGTCAGGAAGACCTGAATTCAAATTCAGCCTTAGATGTTTAATAGCAGTGTTATTAATCAATATAATGTTAATATTAACATAATAATTTATATTTTCTCTGCATCTGCTTTAGCATCCATACCCACAGTTCAAATAAACCAGTTAGGTTTATAGGCTTCCAGCTTAGCTTTGGGTATGCAACTTTTTTTAAATAAAGATTAATTATCTTTTGAAATTTAAATTAAAAAATTTAATAAATATGAATTATTTTCATATTACTTTGATTTTGTGTTAAAATTTAAAGGACAGATTTATTTGGATGGTATTTTTTTCATGAACTGAGAGTATGGCATGACCATTGTTCATGGTATAACTATTTTTGCTGTTTTTAGATTTCAAATGATTATTTTTTTTCTACTGCAGTTTCACAAATGAATATTTATTGTATGCTGTTGAGTCTATTCCTTTGCATCTATCTCCTTCTTGATGTCATTCTGGTCTGGTGATTAATAAAGTATGAAGCTGTAGCATAGATTTTGAAGAAAAAACATGCAAATATAACATTTTGCATATTTGTTTGTTTTTTGATATACTTAATTTTAATTTGGGGAAATGGTTGCCAAAGAAATGCAAATAGCAATATAATGTTTAATGTTGGAATTAGGAAGGATACTGTTTTTTAGGCAGGTTTCAAATTCAACCATATTAGATTGTAACCACATTCTTCAAGAAGGAATTCCTAGGGTATATCATCTTAGGAAGAGGAAAACCAGGAAAAACAGTACTGAATTTAGAGGCAGAAGACTTTGGGAATACCTCTACTACCTGTGTGATCTTGAAGAAAGTCACTTAGTGTTTAAAACCTCAGTTCCTTCATCTACAGAAATGGATATAGAAAGTAGATATGAAACCTACCTTCTCTTTTAGTTGGGTTATTGTGAAGATTAAACCATTCAATGTAGCTGGTACTTTGAAAGCTATAAAGCTTTCAAATATAAATTGATATTTTTGTTACAATAAGTACTATCTGGGCAAAAAATTAAAGAAAAGAACTATAGTCTTTTAAAAATACAAATTTTTTTATTATAATAAAATAAAATTTTAGGCCCCTCTGAAATTTGTTTATTGTTAATTTGTATGAATAGCATTAGCAAATTTTAAAAGTAATGTCTGTGTACATCATTAGTAATTTTAATGCAAGTACCTTAAGGTTCCTAAATATTTAGGACAAATATTTTATTTCACTGGCAGCATAGCCTTATCTTTTATGTAATTATGGGGTTTCATATGAAAATTAATTTATTCTTTTATCATTGTATACATCTGGAATCTTATGTATGTATATGTGTAAGTTCTCATATATCCTTATATTTCTAAGCATCTGTGATTTCATCTGAATGGGGGAATCTTTCTACTGATAGAGATCAAAACCCCTCCATATTATCCCATCCTTTTCTTTAAAAAAGTTATTTATTTTTATTTTTAGTTTAGTTTTCAATGAAAAAAAGAAACAAAACAACACAAGAAAAAAGAGATCAAATAGTATGCTTCGATCTGTATTCAGACTCCATAGTTCTTTCTCTGGATGTAGATAACATATTCCATCATGAGTCTTTTTTGGAGTTGTTTTAGATCTTTGCATTGCTGAAAGGAGCCAAGTCTATGAAAGTTAGTCATCTCACAATGTGGCTGTTACTGTGTACAATGTTCTTCTGGTTCTACTCACTTCACTCAGCAGTCCATACTGGTCTTTCCAGGTTTTTCCAAAGTCCATCTGCTCATCATTTCTTATAGCACAATAGTATTCCATTACATTCATATACCACAACTTGTTCAGCCATTCCCCAGTTGATGGGCATCCCCATAATTTCCAATTCTTGGCTACCACAAAAAGAGCTGCTATAAATATTTCTGTCTGTGTGGGTCCTTTTCCCATTTTTATTACCTCTTTGAGATACAGACCTAGAAGTTATCCCATCCTTTTCAACTCTTGTTCATGCTTACCCACAGATCTTCAGTGAAGGATTTATTCCACAGAACTGAACTCTTGCTTTGGGTCTTTCAGTATCTTGAAATACCAGTGTGTTGCATTTCTGGCTTCCCGTCTGTTGTTTCTCACTCTCTTTTATTTACCCTATCTTTCTAGCCATATGTGTATTCAAATAATATCTTTCATTCAAGTTCATTTGGTTTTAGAGTTCAGGTCTTTTTGACCACAGATCCAGTATTCTTTCCACTATACTTTGCTGCTGTCATCTATTTTGTAACTGTTATGAATCTTTCCATTGTTCTTTCTGAGATTATGTTGTTCCATAATTCATAGCTATATCTTCACTAGGAAAATAGTGGTGTTAAATAGATGGAATTTGGTGGCACCAAAGTATTTGGGGATCATTTCAAGTACTGTATGATTGCTCAAATTTGATGTAGCCTGACTATTTCTCACTATTCAATATGGGGTCCATCGGCAATGCTGATGTCTGTAGATACATTGTTTTACTGACTTTACAGGCTGCCCAGCAAACTGAAAGTCATTGGCAGTATGTGGTTTTCATTTATTTTATTCTCAATTGTGGCTTATTAGTCCAGTCTCTTTCACATTGCTGCGGTTCTCTCTAAGGAAAATTTTGTAATATGGTGCTTGATGTACAAAGTCAATTTATAAATAGAAACCTTATATTCAGATAATTCATTTGCACTTTTGCTGGACATCTTCGGTGAAATTGGGAAACAGTATTATATAGTGGAAAGAGTGCTGGACCCAAAAACTTGAGTTCTAATCTTGCTATTGACATAAATTGTGTGATCATGGACAAATCACTTAACTACTCTGAGCCTCAATTTTCTTATCTGTAAAATTGAGACAATATTTGTAATGTGTACTCTACAGAGTTGTGATAAAAATCACATGAGTTTTTTGTGAAGTGTTTCTCAGACCGTAAAGTTTTACAAACAAATAGGTATCTATATCAATTTGTCTTTTACAAAGAAATATTCACTTAAAAAATCTGCCTAGAACAAACACACAAATATTTCTCCCTGCTATCTCAGGGTACAATCTCCTCATATACCTCATTGGTCTTCAGAGATGAGGAGTAGGGGGAAAGATGAAGCTCAGAATTTAGCTCTGTTCTTATATAGCATTGGTTCCACCAAATTTACATCCAAAGGCATCACTTCCAGATGAGTTCTGTAAGGCTCAGGGCCCAAATGTTACTACTTCCAGTGATCTCACTCTATATTATTAATCACTCCTTGCTCCTTGTGGCATCAGTTTTGAGCTGGCTACAAAACCTGGCCTGGTTCATAATTCCTGGATTCTGGTGGCTGACTTTCCTAGCCATTCCCTCACCACCCCCTGTACTTAGAATGAAACAGAACAAACAAAAAGGCCAAAGAACCCTTTCTAGGGGAGTCATGTGACTAGAGAAAGGGAAGTTCCCCTTGACTTTCCC